ATTACGCAGAATGACGCGTAAGGAACGTCTCAACTAATTATTCACCTCATTTTTGAAAACATTGAAACAATTTGTCGCAACCTGTCCAAAATGTCGTACACCATTACAAATTCCATTAATATTTAGATGCCTTCTGTCGTTCCTTACGCATTATTTTTTATTACAACTGAATGAATCACAAAACATCAAAGTTGTTTTACCTTAACAACTTTTTGCCGCGCGTATCGTAAAAGATTGTCACCTGCGATTAATCCAGAAAATCTTCACCGCGTGGCGTTGGCTTCTACCTTTATTGTATGCATCGCTCTTATCTAATGTTCACTTTATTCATAATTCAAGGGATGATATTTTTATTTTTATGACGCCGGGTGACAACACAGTGTTTACTCTCTTTTGATGAGTAATGAGCACTCCGCTCGCACCCGGATTGTGGCTTACACGCTCAACAGAAGTGGTGGCGGCGGAGGAATAGAATCATATACGCGCTTTTTGTCTCGAGCAAAAAGTATACAAACGTTTTAATTATTGCGAAAGTTTTCATAAAATACAATACTGAACCGCTTTCAGAAAAATCGTTTGTGTGATATTTGAGGCGATGAATTCTTTGCAATAATCCTTTAGAGGAAAAACTTTTTTAGTTCACTATTTTAATTGAGCAATTTAGCAAACATGCCTATTGATGAGATACTCGTATTATAATTCTAATATTTATATAAGTCAACAATATTAATTGTCTTGATATAGCTCTTTTAACAAAGATAAGTTATAATAGAGATAGGGTAGAACAAGGTTTAAAGGTCCTCGGGTAGAGACAAGTAGAGACAAAAACATTAATAACCAGGCATCATCTTGATTTTTATAACGTTCCTATCGGGAAATGAATAACAATATTGAAGAAACCATAGCAAAAGAATTTTCTTTCGTTGTTATTTTTTGGTTTAGTTTACGTTCAGACCTTTATATAAATTTAAGTATACGTTATTTAAGTGTCTTATAAGACATTTTGCTAATGTTTCGTTTATATATAACTTCTACAAAAGCTTACAAGTCAAAGGGATAAAAAGAATCAACTGATTCTTTACCCTGGCAGAGGTGTAATAAAAAATAGTCGATAAAAATAAATTAAAAAAGCAGTTTTACAAGAGATAATTTAAATAACTAGTTATTCCAACTCAATTGTTGACTATTTCTGACGAAATACTACATCAAGTTTATATCAAGTGTTATCTCTGTGAAAATGTACCTATGAAGTATATATTTTGCAATGGTTATATATTGTAGCTATTATTTCGTAAATTCCTTTTAATTAAAAATAAGACATTAGGCCTATTTGCCCACTGACCATTCCATTTTACCCGCCATAGGACAAGAACATTAAATTTTTGAAAAAACAGTAAAAAACGCATTAATATAATTATGAATTACCTGGTAGTTTTACTGAACTCAGACAGATAGTTGTTTGTTTGATATGTGCTATTTTTGTGATATTTAGCTTGGTCAAATTAGACCTTTGTACCCTGCCCCATCTTCAACTGAAATTGTTGCAAAAATTCTTTATTAAGGATAATACTGTATTTTTTTTTTTTTTTTTAAATTTTTTATTTGGCTTCGCTTACTCTGAGCATTTAGCCACCTACAACATTTATTTATATTCTATACTATTTTTTTATATCAAATTCAATTTATATATAGATTCTATTCTTCTTATACTATATACTTTCTCTCAACTTATCTTCTTCACACAAATCCTATTCTTCTGCATAGCTCAACTTATCTTCATTCTTCCCTTTTTAGTCTTCTTACTACTTTCTACTATTTCATTTTACTACATTTTCAATTCTAATTCAATTTTTATACATTCTAATACCTTATACATTCTAATCATTTTTTTTTTTTTTTTTTACATACATCTTACAATTGAAATTCTAACACATTTTTGATATTTTACAATTGGAAGCGCCAGGGATCGAACCAACGATCTCCGGCATGTGAGTCGGACATGCTACCTCTGAGCTATGTCCGCCACAAAACTGTATTTTAAAAGTTCAAACAAGAATGAGTACAGTTATAATCGACCATTACATGATTATCCTATTTGCTTATTGTTAGATAGAACTGTGTTGGATATGAAAGTGTGAAACAATTAGGAACCACTTAAGCTTATATATTTTTTCAAATATCACATTGCTTGCCAAAATTGTTTGCAGAATATTATTGTTAAATACATTTGATATATTTTTTTATTCCTTCTCATTTTTTGTCAACGAATGCATGAAAACCTACCACAGGTAATTGTAATATTTTTGTCTTATGTGCTCTAATTGCTTTTTTTAATTAATTTTAATGGCAATTGTTGCGGTTGAAACATGTTTGTATGTATCATTTTTATATCGCTTTCATATATTTTCAATTGTTTGGCATTCATAAAAAAATAATTTCTACAAAATTCGTACGAAAATTGCTGTAGAAATAGCAATAAAAATTTTACAGTGCTAGATGATATCCTAGTAGTTATTTACTTCTTATATTTTAGTTTCTAAACTTATGCGATTTAAGAAGTTTTTAGTAAGGTTAGGCCTTATGGTAAGGTTGAACAGGTCTTTCTCCGTTTAACCTGGGACTTACGGGGTAGGGGGTATAAATTTTTGCATATAAAAAATACATGCACTTTATAATAACTGAGAGAGCAGCAAAAGTAAAGCAAATAGTTGTTTTATTCACTTTTCTTATGGCGACGGAAGATTTATAATTTACAGTCCGCTTAATATCTAATTAATCATATGGATATCCACCATATGATGCATTTAAAAATTCATAAAAGTTTAGGTTTTTATTTGGTTCACTCAAAAATTTTTAATAATAAAATTTCCAAGTCTTTTACCATTTTTCAATTTTGATTAAATGTATCTACGGTAGATATAACTTGCCAACACACTTTAGTACATTTTTTTGAAGGAACGGCTTCTCAAAGCCGACCGATTTTGAAGTTCATAGTTTAATAAAAAGTCCTCGTTCTTGAAAAATTGAGGCAGTTGTGGTAATGTTTTTGATTTAGGTTTAGAAATGTCATTAATGTTACGGTTCCAAAGTTTAATTGAACAAAATTAATAAAATTAACAACAATAATCGAAAAATAGTCATAACTCTACAAAAGCTCTAGGTTGCACTTAGATGCTTATAATTTACAAACAACGTGAAATAATTATTGTTTTCTAAATTTTTTCAAGATCAATACTATCACCTCATTTCGGTTTGACGTGAAGGTTTGGAACACCCTATATATATTCAGACTGAACTTTTGTGCATTAAATATTGATAATCAATATTTAATTATACGTTTTCGGTGCTTATTACGTACTGTTATTTATCTATTATATAAAAATAAGTCGAGTTTTCCTTCCTGACGATATAACTTCGGAACGCACTAACCGATTTTGACGATTTTGCATTCGTTGGAAAGGTCTCGGACTCCGTAAGGTTTATAGCAAAGAAAATTGAAGAAAGATTTCAACTGAAAAGCAAAAACTACTTTTTCTTTTTTCACATACAGCGTCATCTCTGATACTTAGCATGTACTACAAACTAATACTTTTTGTGTGACTGCTACTCATTTATTTGACAGCTACTCAGTTAAACCGGCATAAAAGTAAAACTAGCTGTAAGTGGAATTCTGTCTTAAGGCAATTAAGGCATCGTGCCTTAAGGCAAATTGCTGGAACTTTCCGTACCAACATTTTTTTTTAAAAACGATTAAGATTTTTGAAAAAATTTTACTTCGAAAAAATAAAATTTTTGAGAAACTATATATTGGACAAAAAAATACTTTTTTTTGAAAAAAAAAATTTTTTTTAGAAAAATATTTTTTTTTATTTTTTTTTTTTTTTGAAAAAAAAAATTTTTTTATTTTATTTTGACATATTTTGGAAGATCTAAACTTTTTTTCAAAGCAATCGTACTGCTTTAACTGCATAAAGACGAAATATCAAAGCGCGTAAGCGCCGCGTCGCCGTCTAACGCGTAAACATTGGTACGGAACCCATAGAAATGTAAAAAAAAATTATACTTATTGTTAAAATCTCTATAAAATATCTGATAATTTGATGTGCATATGTCTAATGATTATTTTTGACCGCCAAATGGCATTTTTTTTTACTTTTTTCATCAGGTCTCCGAAACCGTTAGACCTGCCTTCATGAAAATTTGATCAATTCTTTATCTTGTCAATACAAGTAAAATGTTTTTTGAATTATTCAAATCGGACGCCCCGTTCTCTTAAAAACTGAGTTACCGTTTTCGGCACTTTTTGCCCCGTATCTTTGGAACGGCTAGACCTGCCTTCGCCAAAAACTAATCAGCACGTCTCCTTATTAATACGAATCGAATGTTTTTTGAATTATTCAATTCGGTTTATCCGTGTTCCCGAAATCGTCGACGAAAATTTGTATCCGCACATACATACACACACGCACATACATACATACATACATACATACATACATACACACACACACACACACACACACACATACATCCATTTTTTCTAAGGTATGCCAAAATGTTCAGAAACCTCTGAAACGTAAAGATATATAAAAATTTTCATTTTCGATTTTTTTGCGATTACTATAACTTACCCTACGGGAAGTTAAAAAATAAGTTATTTGTTTCCTAACATTTCAATCGGAAACCATCAAATAAAGCACGTGTATTGTGCAATTTTTTATTCAATTTCAACAGCAGACAATTTTTTTTTTCATCTTTTAATCACCTAACGAAATGTTACATAAAATGAAACTATCTGGTGGTGAAACGGAGTTCGCGCGGTTTGCTAGTTATTTAATAAAATAATTCGTACAAATACTATTAAAAATAACGATGATTTTTGTCTATCAAATATATTTTTATACTGCTTGTTAAGCAAAATGCGAATATCAATGTCGCTAAAGTACCTTATTTCGTTTCGAATATGGCGACAATTTGTCGGTTATGCAAATTCGACTCACCTGTTGTACATAAGCACGTCCGGCTTCCACAGCCTGTGCGGCGGTATGCGGAGGTCGCGCACGCCGCCGTACTCTGAGGTATTCCATCGCAAGTTCATGTCATTCCATTCCTGAAGGAGAAAGGGAAATATTAAAGTGTTATTGTTTATCATATGTAATATTCAGCGAAGTTCGGATAATACGACATTCCAAAAAAAACTAATCTTACAAGTAGGTACATAAGCTGCACTACTGTTGTTGTAATATACATTATATATTAGGCATTTGAGCTCACTCAAGGGAAAGTGGCTAGAGCGACTGGACTGTAGTAGTGACAGCAGTAGTAACATTGGTTTTCCCTTGGAAATATAGATATAAATATGTTTCCAAGTAAAACATCCACCATTGTTGCATCAATAAAATATTTGTTTTTTTACAGATATTGTAATAATAAAATTTATCACACTGTTAATGAGAAAAAACTGTTTGGATTGCCATCTATAAGAAAAACGACATAATTCGTAAAATAAATTCTGTTTTTACTTATAAATAAATATAGATAACAATGTTTCCTAGTGAAAATAGCAGTTATCTGACATATACAGATGGGACAACTGTTTGGGTTACCATCCATAACATACCTTGTAGTTCGTTAAGTTAATTCTTACAATAGCTCATAGATCTTTTAAGTTTTAAGTTACTGTGTATGTTGTAATATGCATTATCTATTAAACATTTGGGCTTACTCAAGGGAAAGTGGCTAGAGCGACTGGACTTGGTCGAGAGGTTCTGGGCTTGATCCCTCTGATGTCAAGCAGTGACATTGGTTTTCATTTGGAAATATAAATATAAATATGTTTCCAAGTAAAAATAGCCCATATCCAGCACTGCTGCATCAATAAAATGTTTGCTTTTTTACAGGTATTGTAATAATAAAATTTAACACACTGTTAATGAGATGAAACTACTCTTTGGATTGCCACCTATGAAAAAATGATATAAGGGGGTCTTCCTATGTGACGGCCTGTTATTTAGGGATATTTTAGATTTTTTTTCTACGACCAGTAAATAGTTAGAGCTTCAAGTTTTTTGTCATTTATTAATACATATTTGGACAGTATAAATATAAAATTTCAGCTAAAAAAATTTAGTCCAACTAGAGTTACAGCGCTCTAAACACTCCCCCCTCAAAAAAAAGAGCTCCCACTGTCTCCACGATTCCGGCTGATCGGCTTATATGACCAAAAAAAAATAAACGGCGTTTTAATTTGTAGGCTTAAAAGCACGGAATGAACTACAATCAAATGAATACAAAAAAAATTGGATGTTTTATAGACATTTGAAATAAAAGTTGCAAATTAGGCGGTTTTTTTTTTTGTTTTTTTGCTATAAAAAATCGAACTTTTGAAATTTTTGATTGATAATAGTTCATTCCATGCGCTTAAATATATTGAATGTGCCCTGTAAATTTCAAGTAATTCGGTCCAGCCGTTTCTGAGAAAAACGCGTTTAAAGATAAAATGATCGTTGTACTATATACTATATGTATACTTTTTAAATGGCTGTAACTCAAAAACTATTTGAGATATCGATTTGAAATTTTAATATGTTATTTTTAAAGGTATAATCTACCGAAATATGAAATTAAAAAAATTCAATTTTTTCAACTCATCACATAGGAAGACCCCCATAATACGTAAAATAAATAATTAGGTTGATTTCAAGCAGTAGTGACATCTATTTCTACTTGGAAATATAGATAACAATGTTTCCTAGTGAAAATAACAGTTACCTGACATATACAGATAGGACAACTGTTTGAGTTACCATCCATAAAAAACCTCATAGTTCGTTAAGTTAATTATTACAATAGCTCATAGATTTTTTAAGTTTTTATCTTTATTCGAAAAATAAGAAAGTGATATAATAAAAAGTTATGTCGTAGTGATGATTTTTATTTCCTTGATGCAGCAATGTTAGGTAAGGGCTATTTTTGTTTGTAAACATATTGCTGTCGATGACTCAAGTAAAAACCGATGTCACTATCGCCTGACAGCAAGCTGGTCGGCATCTAATTTGGGACCTTTGGCTCAAATCTTATAGTCCAAAATACTTACTCACGGGCGAGCCCATATTATCAATTGATACAATTTGCATGTTTCATAGTTTATTTTCCTCGGTTGCTTTTCAAAAAATTTATGTAAATTCGATGAGATAACAATGTGTATACAGTATACATTATATTGGATTTTTTTTTATTGGCTTCTTATCAATATTTAACAACATACATAATATACAAATTTAATTAATGTATATAATATTACTTTCTTTAATAATAAATAAATTATAAAGGAATAACAATTTGAATCTAGCAATGATACCAAATTTAAGGGTTTGGTCTGCGACTTTATGTAGTACAATTTTTGTAACATTTTTGTCTTGTCTTCCTCAAATAGACTGAATTTTGGATAATTTAACAAAGTATATATGTCTATGTCATGAAAATAGAAATACAAAAAATGACTATTATTTCGTAACGGTGTCAATAATTATTATTTTAAAAACATGGTTAAAAAATCTATGCCTGAAATATGTTCGTGGCGCAATGCTCACATTTGAATACCCTGCATATTTTGAATTCAAACATATGTCTGTAATTGAATGCATTAAATAGAATGTAAAATATTTTATATCCAAGGACATCAAAGGACATAGCAACGAAATGCCAACGTTTACATTTGATTGATGCATTGTTGTACAGCATTGTGGAAATATTTCTATGAAATAAATAATCATTTCGTTTTAATGCCATCAGCGTGACTAAATTTTCGTAAAATCATTTACAATCTTCGCTTCAAAGCGCACTTGTGTCGCTGTCGAAATATAAACTGCTACACTTCCTACCGCGCTGACACGTGGACACGAGTCCCATTTGTCTATGTCACTGCGAATTTAAAATTTATTTATTTATTACAATTTGTCGCAATTGTACATTCTCTAGATGCACATATGAATTTTAACGTTCCTGGTCTCTGTTTTTATGCACGTTCTAAATCAACGGTTATGGTTTAGGGAACTCTGTTTTCGAGAAGCATGTTTTTCGTTTAATATAGTAATTTAATTTTATATATTCTGGCCATAAATATTTCGAAATATGAAACCGGTACGGGCAAAGAAACATTATACGGGTTATAAAAAGATATATTCTTGCTTTGCATAAAGTATTCACATGCAAAATATGAAATTTTCGTTGTGGTCATTTTATATCTAACGCTCAATTCATACTTTGGCGCATAGAGTTTTTGGAGAATTAAATATTGCGTATGAATTTAATACAATGTAAACTTTTTATGCAGGGTTGTCAAATCGCAAAAAAAAAATTACAAAATTTGCTTGGTTGCAAATAATCCTAAAATAAAGTTTTTCATTGTTCTGAAATTATTATAAATATTATTGTAGGCCCGGTGCAATTTTTATTGTAGAAGTTAGTGGTTAAAGAATCAGGTAGGGTAGGGCAGGACACAAAGGTCCAATTTGACTTTGAATAATTAGATTGTAAATTATTACAAATAATAACACATATTAAAAAAAAACAACTATGTGACTATGTTCAGTAAAACTCCCAATTCATCATTATAGAAATGTTGGTTTGTTTTGTTTGTTTTTTGCTGTTTTTCAAAAAAATTGTCATCTGGTCCAAGACACAAGATTAAAAATATAATATTTGTGAAGATAGTGCAAACAATTATGGTTGCTTATTTAAATAACCAACAATGAATAAACTCGTTAATATGCGAACAAACTTAAATAAAGAGCAAAATAACACACTAAATCTTTGATATATTTTATGATCTGGATTGTCGTAATATTTATTTGTGCACTCAAATATTTTACACTGATCATATAATATCTACATAATTTTTTCTTTGTTTCCTTTTTTCAACAGAGGAAAATAATAATACATGCTTGATAAATTTAATAATGGACGGAAATAACCGCCCTTGTCCATTGATACTATTTTATTTGAATAGTTTGTTATATATCATATTAAATTATTAGCAGCAAATTTATATAGGTAATTTGATGCGCATATGTCTGATGACTATTTTTGACTGCCAAAAGACTCTTTTCTAACTTTTTTATTAGATCTTCGAAAGATCTACTAAACCTGCATTTACAATTTAACTAGTTTTTTATTTCGTCAATACAAATAAAGTGTGTTTTGAATCATTCAATTCAGACGTTCCGTTCTATCAGAAATTGAATCACTATTTTTGCATTTTCTGCCTCGTATCTTCGAAATGGCTGGATTTGCATTGGCCAAATATTAATCAGCCCGTCTCCCCATCAATAGGAATCGTTGACCCGCATTCTTGAAATAGTCGGCCAAAAATTGTATGCGCACATATATACACTCACACACACACATACATCTATTTAAGAAGGCTTTGGAACGTAAAGATATATAAAAAAAATAATTTTTATAACTACGATAACTTACCCTATGGGTAGTTAAACAATGTATCATGGTTGAATTTTGTTGAAGCTTTATTTATTTTGGCTTCACTTAAGTACATACATTTTTGCAGTTTGCACGCATTATCGATTCGTCTGTTTTGTTGATAGGATATTTGTTTCTATAATTTTTTGTAAATTCCGCAGCGACATTCAATAAAATTTTCAATTTAACATTGTTATTAATAAATCATAAATGTAATTTTGTCCTAACATGTGCTCCTAACTCATAGTTTTTGTATGATTTATTTTTTGCTGTGTCTAGCAATATATCTCACTTATATTGATTACTCTGACACAAAAACTATTGCTTATCAGGCGTGGAATAACGAATACTGCGAAGTCAAAGAAAAGATATATATTGCGCGATAAATTTCACCCTTATCCAATTGAACGAATCTATCTTTTGCTATTTGCAGTGTCTTGTCTGAGAACTACTTGTACGAAGAACATCTATTTACAATATCGGTCGAAAGCTGCTTGTAACGTTGAGAAATTTCACATCATATATTGCTTTTATATTGTACAATATGGCAAAGAAATAGAGATTAAAGGGCTTTTCATATCTCTACTGCAATGTACGTTTTAGTATAAAAATTTTGATGTAATGCGCTTG